CCCCCACCCCCCGCCCCACCGTACACCCCCATGCATTCAGTCAAACACCCACACTTGCACAAAGTATGCGAGCTGTAGTATCTTAGCAACGGGCTAGGTAATTACTGAGAGAGCCAAGGAGCTGGCATGCTGTAGAGCTGCTGATCTGATCCCAGCGTTAGAAAAACAGAAAGGCAGAGATTTGAGCAGTGCTGTCCAACATCCACGCTGTGGCCACTTCAGTTCCCCCCCCCCCATCCCATTTAAAAGCTTAAAAGCTGTTTTCAGTTTCGATTTTTTTTTTGTCTGAAAAAAAATGTGTTTCTGTTCACAGGTGGTGAGGCCGTGGACAAAGAGGGGAGGATGATTCGCTCGTGTAGAAACGATCAGCACGGCCTCTCCTTGTAGAGACGAGGGAGCCGCGGGGAGRCGACGGCTGTAGGAGGGTAGCAACTGTGTTGGAAAAAAAGGGGCCGGCCCCCGATCGGCCAGGTTCTCGCGGAAGGTGGTAGAATGGCGAATCAGAGCTTTGCCATCGACGGTCCTGGCAGTTTACTGGCTGTGCTGGCCTCCCAGAGCGGACTGTCGAAAGGCGGCGGCGGCAGCGGCGGCGACAGCAGCACTGGAGGAATCTCGGCCACAGATGTGTCTGCCTACTTTAAGCTGGTCTTCTTGGGGTTGATCATCTGTGTCAGCCTGGTGGGCAACCTCCTGGTGTCCATGCTGGTTCTGCGAGACAGGACGCTTCACAAGGCTCCTTACTTCTTTCTTTTGGACCTGTGCCTGGCCGACGCAGTCCGCTCCGCCGCCTGCTTCCCCTTCGTSCTGGTGTCTGTCCACAACAGCTCGGCCTGGACTTACAGTAACCTGAGTTGTAAGGTTGTAGCTTTCATGGCCGTCCTGTTCTGTTTCCACGCTGCCTTTATGCTGTTCTGCGTGGCTGTCACCCGCTACCTTGCCATCGCCCACCACCGCTTCTACGCCAAACGCATGACCATCTGGACCTGTGCTGCCATCATCTGCATGGTGTGGACTCTGGCCGTGGCCATGGCGTTCCCGCCCGTCTTCGACGTGGGAACGTACAAGTTCATCCGCGACGAGGACCAGTGCATTTTCGAACACCGCTACCTGAAGACCAACGACACCCTGGGTTTCATGCTCATGCTGGCCGTGGTGGTCCTGGCCACCCACGGCTTCTACGCCAAGCTCCTGCTCTTCGAGTACAGACACCGCAAGATGAAACCCGTCCAACTGGTGCCGGCGATCAGCCAGAACTGGACCTTCCACGGTCCCGGGGCCACGGGCCAAGCCGCGGCCAACTGGATCGCTGGATTCGGTCGCGGTCCCATGCCCCCAACTCTGCTGGGCATCAGGCAGAATTTACACAATCAGCACCGGCGGCTGCTCGGCATGGAGGAGGTGAGGTCAGAGAGGAGGCTGGGCAGGATGTTCTACACCATCACCCTGCTGTTCCTCATCCTCTGGGCGCCGTACATCGTGGCGTGCTTCTGGAGGGTGTTTGTCAAGTTCTGCTCCATCCCCCAACAGTACCTGTCCATCACCGTGTGGATGAGCTTCGCCCAGGCCGGCGTCAACCCCATCTTCTGCCTCCTGCTCAACGAGGACCTGAGGAAGGTGCTGAGAGCCCACCTGCCCACTTACTGGAGGACTAAACAACACCTGCCCCAGGACGAGGCCTACTGCATAATGTGAGAAATTAAATCAAATAAATAAAACGAGGTCAATGCAAAGAATGTTTCTAGATTTAAAGTGAAGCTAACAGAGCTGAAGTGTAAGGAGCACTTGGAATAAGTCAGTGTCTGATTTGTTGTTTTTGCGCAACAAAATCCAATTTAAGAATCTAAGAAATTCAGGCACAGTTTGAAGAATGTTGATTTAAAAGGTGCAAAGGTTTGGAGCAGGGCAATAGAGAACCTTACTCCCCCCAACTGGTAACACTTGTAATACTGATCCAGTACTGTATCGAGATGTTGGAAAAGATCCCTCACCCCAGTTCCGTACGACAGATGCCATTTTAAAATAACGTTGCCTTATTTTAGACGGACCCGCTGCAGAACTTTGAGCCTAGAGCTAGTATGCGTCAACGGTAATGCTCTGACCAGAAACCGACTTGAAGAAACGTGCCGTGGACTATGAATAGGGCGGGGAGGGGGGACTGATCAGAGCTTTACTAACTCTGAAACACATCAAAGAACTCAAAGGGTCTGAATAGAGCGACACACTCTAGACACCTTTTCATGTAATTCAAAGAAGACTGTCAGGATATTAGGTGGACCCAATAACCTTGGACACATTTAAATAGCTGTTGTGAACCCAGAAGCCCCTAACATGCTTGATTTTTTTTCTTCTTTTTTCAAACTTATAGGGCGTGTCAGGTTTCTTTGTAACATAAAAAGGGGGGCAAAAAAAGAAGGAAAAAAAAGCCTGTTTTGCTTTATTTGTAAACAATACATGTTAAGCAGATGACACTATTTTGAAATATGACTTGATTTCATATTGTACAGACTGTACAGGAATGACCATTCCTGCTTGTGTGTTTTTATATAGCATTTGTGTGTATGTGTGCGCGCTGAGAGAGAGAGAGGAAAAGGTAAGAGAGAAGAAAAAAGAAAAAGGGGGAGAGAGGCAGGACGAGTCAGACAGAAATAACGATGATCGAATAGGTTTCAGTAAATACCGAGTCAAAATGAAAACCACATTTCGTTGTCTCCAAATCCAGCAAAACTGAGCAATCATCATTTGGAAATTAGATCTTTCAGTGGATTTCTGCGACCGGGAAAAGGGGTTACGATTCTCTTTTTTTAATATAAAATGCTAATGTGCAAGTTAATGTGAAAAACAGSGAAGAAGGAGGGATTCGTTTTACTATTTGTACATTGCAAACAGGCTATAGGATTTAATGACTTGAATAATGATGTATGTATATTACATCATCTTAAAAAGAGTATTAAAAAGTGTACATTTATTAATGGTTTTGGGGAATGTTTGAAACCACTGGACTGTTAATGTCTGCTTATCTCAGAACTTTAAAGAGGACATGACGTGGCCCCCTTTTGAGATGAAGGAACCTCTGACGTTACCCCGGCCCTCTTATATTTCTGCTCAATTTGAAAATGTCACCGTTTCTGAGTGTCCAGATCACAGTAACGTTTCTCCAAATCAAAGCAACTTCAGGCTGTGTGGATCCCCCACCCCCCACCCCTGACTCAATCAGCGCACTCCAAATTAAGATTCCTGTGATGTCTGACCTTCGGTACGTTAGGCATATAGATATATATTTGTGCAGTCAGTTTTCTAAATGTGGACACTTGCACAGCAAACTGTTCCAGCATGCATTCCACTGCGTTTCATAGATCCAAGACTTGGGTTCCACAACTTGTACAGATGCTGCGGGAAAGACGAAGCGACACGCGAACTGGGGTCCATGATTTGATTTTCGATTTGATTATTATTTTTTGTGTTAGGCATTCCTTTTTGCGAGATGATTTTCTGTGACTGTACAGTTTAACTGAGGTGGTTCTTTTGCCCACTCATCAATAAAGACTCTACTTTTGATGCTGTTTGAGTTATGAGCTGTCTGGACGGAGATGCAGCTGCGTGTAGCACAGAACGACGTTGTTGCTTTCTCATCGTCCGCAAAAAGAGTCATGACCCATGACAACGTTTGCACTCTGGCCAACGACCACTTCTCAGTTCAAAAGGTTTTGTGTTTTATCAAACATTTTCAATCTGCAGCATTTAGAAGATGAATTGAACTCCATTCAAAATACAGGTTTCATACAAGATCTGAAGTGAAAACTCCTCTACAAGCAGGGGGTCTTCTTGCTGTGCAGGGTTACATTTGGACAGTTGTGCTGCGCAGGAGACAACACAATCAGGAAAAGAGTCTCAAAATCACCAGACTGACTAAATAATGTTTGTTACTGCCAAGTAAGTAACGCTGCGGCCAAAACAGTATCGAGTTGATTATTGATGCAGCTTACTCCTATTAATGTACTTTTTTTTCTGTAAGGGGGAAAAAAAACTTTATTTCACTTACTATACTTCAAAAGTTACTGTAATACAAAAGTTAAAGTACTGGAGGAAAAAAGCGACACGGCAGAAACAATGAGAAAAGTTGAATGTAATGATTAAAAACTAAAGACTACAGATTAAAAGTTCAGATTGTTTGACATGGGGRTTCTAAGAAAAGATTGTGAACATCTTACCTGTTGTAGATATATATTTGAACAAACCTAGTTTGGAAAAATAATTGTTTAAAGTCTGGTAGGAGGGTTAATGAGCAAATGGCTAGTCTGAGTGGGGCCAGGACAGCTCCAATCTAAAAAATAATAATAAAGGAATACACGATTAACATGATTTTGTTTCAAGTGCAAATAGCAGCACTTCAGCTGCAGCCTTGGACACTTGCGGTTTGAAAATATTATTTCAGACTCTATGTTTATGTAAAGGTTGATGAAAGAGCATTTGCTTGAACCACTGTGACATTTTTAAGGATGGAGTTGYTTCATGGTGGCAGTAATCCAGTTTGGAACTGGTCCTAATGAGCTGTTAGTCCAGTGTGATCAGGATCAGCTCTAACGCAGATTTCTGTCATTTTAAAACCTAATATAAAGGTATTGTAGCAGGTTATGTAAATACTACTTTTAAAACCATACTATTGTCACTTTACATGGTTATTCTTGCAGGAACAGTATTATTATCAGCTTCACAACTCTCCTGTCTGCCAGGGGTGGTACAATAGAGGCACAGGYCAGATCTGTTAATCTGTTGGTCTGTGCCCCCGACCCAACCATAATAAAAAATACATAATAAAAAAAGACAAAGCAAAGCTTCAATTCATCATCAGTATTTTAATACAAGTTTGGTTTTGGATTATCAGTGGCCCCCACCTAAGCCGCCCCTATAGCCTGCACCATTAGTGCTACAGCTAGCTGCTATTACTGCTGTTTCTGCTTACAAATAATCAAAATACTTTACATTAGTAGCTGCATATGCTAACAGTGATGTAATGTAGAAGAAAAAGTTAGCTTCTGCTCATCTGTTAGCTTGGTAATCTGCTCAGAACTAAACTTTATTTCCCCAAACTGATTATGATCAAACAGCTACCTGCAGCAGGTAAGATAGTTATTACTGATCTTTTTWTTCACTTAATTCCACCTCAAGAGATCTGAACTCAGACTGTGGACACGCTTAATTAGTGTGACATTATAATAAAAATAACACATTGTTTGTTTTTACTTGAGAATATAGTTGATAGTGAGCTCGCAGAAACAGAAACTGTGTAAAAGTGAATCCTGACCCATGAGTGGCAGGCAGGGAGTGGAGAGTCATCAGTGGGAAGGATGTGCAAAATTCACATTTACAGCTTAGAAAACAAATCCAAAGAAGTGTCAAAACTCCTGGGAAGATTTTTCCAGAGATATGAACGACAGGTGTGTCCAAAGATAGTTTTTCTCATCAATATGATGGATTAAAGAAGAAATTTCCTGGTGAAGTTTTATCTTAGGGTCGAACTCATTAGTAAGTATAAAACTTTAAAATACACAATAAGCCGCTTTCAGTGCTGAATCTCCAGCTCTTGTGGTTTATAAAACAACTAATTTAACAAACGGTACGTAACAAGCTGCACTGAAGATGTGACGTTAAAATGAAATGGATAGGATGGGAGAAAATAATATGCTTGTATTTTAATTAGGCCCTGATTGAGATCCTGCTGCTGGATGGTTGTGTAATCTATATAAAAACAATCATCCTGTGTTTTGRGTTTGAATGAGAGCTAATTTGCTTTGTCTGCAGTGGTGCACTCAGAGTGTGCACGTTGGAGATGTTTTCCATTGTGAGCTGCAGCAGCGTCAGTGTGCACGTCCTGAAAACATCCCTGCTGCTGACAGGTTGCAGTGCCTCTCAGAACTGATGCTGCAGCTTCATCTCAGGCCTTATTTTTAGGTTCCTCCCCACCTCTGTCTCCAAGATCCACAACAAAGAGCCTCTTACTCATCTGTGAAGCTCACGCCCTGCCTGGGTGAAAGATGCTCACTAGAAACACTATTTCTCGGCCTTTGCTCCCTTTTTTGATTAGATGTCTCTTGACAGTTTTAAAATAAAAAAAAATATGTCCCAAAATGTCCAGGCAGYAGCCATTCAATGTTTTTTTTCTACACACATATGTCATTAAACAAATCTCATCAACCTTGAGAGGAAAATACTGAACTTTGATGGTTTATCCAAGAAATGCGTCGTTTCTCCTTTTTTTGAACATTTTTTACCAAACTTTTTCAGCTACACCTTTCATCTATTTTTTAATGAAATCCAGTTTTCAATAAAAAAAAACACATTCATCTGTTTAGAAATAGTTATTTCTAAATGGATGAATGTTTTTATTCAAGGTTGCTTAAGCTAATTTAATGAGCAAAATGTTTAGTTTTTAAAATCCTGTCTTTTTTTTAGAACAGTCATATAAGTTTTAATAAATGAGCACAAAAAGTGAGGGAATGTGTGTTTGGTATTATTGTGATGTTATAACAATGATTCTTGGCAATAAATCTTGCAGGCACCTGATTGGCAGCACCTGGAGGCATCAGAAGCTCAAAACAAGAGTCAGTAACATCAAAAGAAGCTGTTTGGTAGAGAAGATTTGGCAGTTATTTCATGTGCAGGACCCACATACTCAGCTCTACTGTTCATCCCACAAATGCATGTTCCTTACAAATGTGGCTCCATTTAAAARGGAAATTAACAGGCTTTCCAACGGTACAAGATTTATTGCCAAGAAGCATTGTTACAACAAAGAAAAAATCTACCAAACACTGATTTCCTTACTTATTGGACTAAGTAGTGTGCATTTCAGTGTTTACATATAAAATATGAACACAGCAGTCAGAGAAAACGTTTCAGTTCTTTTGTCTGTGTTGGGACGATACAAACTGCACATTGGAATGGGACAATAATTTGTTGGGATGCATCACAGCTCCAGAAATCCTGAGTCTGAGCTTCGACCTGAAGCATCCAGCCTGTCAGAACCACACAAATATTTCAGGTGTCAACATTTGTTTGTAATGTTTCATTTAGCTTCTATTACTTTGAGAATATGTAACATGTTTTCCAGTTGAGGGGATTATGAAGAAMAACCTGTTTCTGATTTACAGCCTCACGATGTCAACATGTAAAAAAACAAAAKAATCACAAAGCAGAAAGCCTCATGATTCTGTGATGGCTGAATACTGACCTAAACTTCTAAATATTAGGATGAAWATCAGACAACTGCATTCTGAGTTTCAGGTGTTTTTCTTTTAATAATCACTTGCAGTTTTTTCCCTTTGCTTACAATCATTTCAGGTAGTTTTTTTTTTATTGTTGTCAGATCTCACACAATCTAAAATAAGGTGCCAGATTGACTGAAACATGACACACAATACTGTTAAAGTAATCTTTTAGCACAAAACTCACTTAATATTTTAGGTTAAATATGTGACCTGAAAAAAAAAACACCAACAGTTTTTCATGATTTAAATCAATCAGAGAAATAATTATTTTCTGTTAGTAAAGAATTAGAATGCTTAGATGGAGTACTTATAATTGATCAAATAACATTATTAGTTGTAAAGATCTTTTCTAAGCCAAATGTAAAATGAAAGTCTGATCTGTGTGAGTAAAACAGCTGGTATGAAGAAGCCATGAAGTTTAACAGCAAAGTTTCCTAAAGTCAGCCACAGGCAGGAATTGGTAAATAAATGTACATAAAAAACAGCTTTTATTCTGTGATGATCGTGTGCTGAAAACACTAAGGTGCATTCTGCTGCAAGTTTACTGACAGCAAATTAGTTTTTTGTAACCCTTTCATGTYAAAAGAAAGTGGAAGAGGCTTGAACACATATTGGCCATTTTGTAGAGTGGGGTTCTGAGTAAAGGTTACAAATAATATCTTACCTGTTGTAGATGCATCTTTGAACCTGAGTGCAGAGGAACCCTGTWCTTTTATTGTGAAAACATGACAGATAATTTGTGAAACAGATCCGGTTCAGCTTGCTGTTTATCTATTAGCTTCTATGGTGGCTGTTGCCCTGTTTCTGCTCCTCCATGCGGTCACAGACGCTACCAGTGGACAGGATGAGTGGGGCTCAGTCTAGGGTTCTTATTCAAGTCTATGATTGAAATCAACCTTAGCCTTATAACTGTCTGACTAGCCATTGGCTCATCAGTGCTGTCACTTTTTTTTCTCTAAACTGAGGCTGCTCAAAGAGTGATCTACAAGTATGATMAAATTTTATACAAACTACCACAACAACAATGCTAATAGTCCTTTAAATGTTTAAGACAATAATAAAATAATCTTGGCCTTAATGCCTGACATGCAACATCTCATCAGAGCTTATTTATCCAGCTTCAAGCAGGATCAACTTATTTATGGGAAACCATGAACATGTCAATGAAAACAAAATGAACTGACAATGACAGCAGTTTATTTGTGTTAAATAAATTATTTGAACCTGCAAACAGCATCCAGAGTACACATATACAAATACGTACAAACACATACTTATAAACACGCTTATCGTTTGGGATAAATGGTCTGATATGCCTACTGACTGAATCGCAGCTCAGTTTCATGCACGTGGTCTCAAATGCAAACAGGCAACAGAGAGCAAACAAGGCAGTTGTACAACACTTGATTACACTGCTTGAATAAGAGTTATATAAATAGTGAACTAGAGTTATGCCAGAGGGAACGTCAGTGTGATACAAAGTGTTGCCCCCCCACTAAGATTATGTAGCATCCTCTTCACATGAATTCAGTCACATCCACACTAGCTGGAGGGAAGCCATGACACATACATGGTTGTAGTGATCACTCCTGAAAAACAGCTGCAGGTGTAGGAGTACTGACGCGCACGCACGCACGCACACACACACAACCCACCCAGTGACTTTTCTAAGACATCCTCCATCACCTACGCAGGATGATTTGATTGCACTTGAACACGACATTAAAACGTTTGAAGCAGCCCGTTACATTCCAGTGGAAACCTACAGATTCTTATTGGACGGTTAAAGAGCAGCAGGCCTCTCATACGCAGCCTCGTGTCGGCGGGCCGCCTCACTTCTGCTCCCGCCTCCAGACGATGACCATGCCGGTGGAGTCGGCAGACGCCAGCAGACTCTCGTCGCAGTTGAAACTCACGTCTAAAACGGGCCCTCCGTGGCCCTGCAGCTTGTTGACTATGGCCTTGGTGTTCCGCTCAACGTCGAAGAAGTAGACGCAGGTGTCCTCGCTGCCAGTCACTGAGGCACAGGAAGAAACCACACAAATTTAACAATAATCAGTGTTCTATTAAAACAGCCCGCTTCACCACCATACTGTCTGAAGGAACATCATTTATACTGAAATGAAAATGAAATTTACTCCTTTTTTGCCATCTAGCTCAAATTAACTGTTACTTCACATAACATAAAAAGAAAGCCAAACCAAGGGAGAGGGTCTTATTCTGCAGGGCGAAGCAGAGTTGCTGTTTCCTGCTCTCGTGTGTACAACACGCTGTATAAAATAGGTTGCTTTGTTGCTGAAAGATTGCTAATTTGAGCTGTTTTTTTAATCCAGAAGCAGCGGCGGCGTGCTATTTTTGCCTGTGCTTCGCCTGCAGCAAGCAATCCACCGTGGTCTCATTTTGGATTCAGATATCCCAGCAGGTATGCTAGGAGAGCGCAGAAGGAGCGCACAGAGACCACAGTGGGAACTGAGAAACCTCTTACCCACACAGGCCCCTTGTCTGAAAGACATGAGGGGGCAGAAAATGCTATGAATGTGCTGAGAGCCGTGCTGGATGGGGAAGCTTCTCTTCAGCTGCAGAGTTCCTTCGTTGTCCACCACCCTGCAGACGGGAACAAACTCAATAAACAAAGTCTTTTAAAGCCCGTACGCTCGGGAAGGACGACTATGATTAAACAGAGCAGCTTTAACGGACCAACCTGTACAGCAGCAGCTTGTTGATGCAGGCGTTGACCAGCAGGGAGGGGTCTCTGGCCTCCCGGCTGATCCAGGAGCGAGCAGATATGCTGCAGATGGAGCTGCCTTCACTCACCACCAGCCGCTTGGCTTTGGTTAGCTTCCCTGAGGGGAGGGAGGAGCCGACAGACACACATCAGCTGCATTCTCTCTCATTCAGTAAAAAACAAAATCAGATGAGCATCACCATCTACAATAACTCTTTAGTTAAAGGAGCTACAACACCTAACTTCCCTCTGGGATCAATAAAGTGTTTTTGTATTGAACTGAGTTTGTGATGCACTCAGAGGACAACTGTTACCTGTTGCCATGTCGAAGAGGAAGGAAAAGATGCTGCCCCTGTCATCGCCAGCCCACAGGATCCTCCCCGGTGCATCAAAGGAGAGAGACAGCACGCGGCCTGTCAGCTTACTGGAGCCCCCCTTCACCTTCTTCCCAGTGGAGATGTTAACCACCTGCAGGTGGTGCTTGCTGTTTCCCACCTACAATACAGAGCCAGGAGTGAGGACCTTCATCATTCCTGCAGTGCATCACTGAGAAGCCAACTGATAAACCGTGTTCTGCCGCCGAAAATTCAACAAAACATGACAAAATGATTTCATGTTTGATTTAATGCAGCGTAAAAAGTCACGGATAAGGCAAAAAAACACCAACGAAAAAAACCTAAGGTTAAATCAAAAGCCATCAAGACGTTCGCTGCTTTAGTTTTTGGTTTCCAAATGCTGACATTTAAATTTGAAATTTGAATAAATGTCTGCTGTATACGCCACGCTCGTGCATTATTTAGAACCAGATAAAAGGCTTCCATCTGGAGGTTATTTCCCCTGCATGTACTGGTCGGAGGTACACTGCACTCACATGAATAAGAAATAAAACATGTTAGAATTAAGTTCAGAGAGTGGGATTACCTTTGCAAGTGGAAATAAAAAAGTGCTCATGCCAGCTGACATTTTGGAGTAAATCTAAACCAATAAAAAGGCAAAAAATATAATAATAACAACAACAACAATAATAATAAAAAGTTGACTAAAACAGCAGAGGCCCTGCAGTAAAGCAAACACTGAAGGACAAGTTTTTTGGCATTTTTCAGGTGGTGTTTGTGTGTGTGTGTGTGTGTGTGTGTGTGTGTGTGTGTGTGTGTGTTCTCTCACTAAACATCCAGAGAAGTTTTAATATTTGTGGCACAAACAGTTTGGACCGATTCAAAAGGTTTTTAGACGACTGCAACTAAGTTAGACTGTAAAATCAGAGCTGCACTCAGGCCTCTRACATTAGTCGTGTTTATCTTGGCCACCAGTATAAACGGCACTAGATTTTAAAAATAACGCCAAAAAGCAACGATAGTTCTGTGCATGCACAACTTCCTGTTGTGATTTTCTATTACTCAGAAGTCTGAATTTTTAATAAAAGGGTCTGGATCAATATTTTCATTTTTTCAGGTTTTCTGGAGGTTCTTCAAAGTCGTTTTATAGACTTTGACTGCTCACCACCCCCACACATTTTTTGTTCAGTACCAGGTCGTTTTCCGATAAATGATGTTTAACTCAAACCTGTGTTGTGTTGACATATAGACAACTTGGCAAAGGAACGACTTCAAACTAAACCTTTAATGTATTTGTGACGAGCCTGCAACACAGTTTGTTTGCCTTTTTTTTTTTTTTTTTTTTTTTAGAAAAATACAAGAAAGCTACTTGGACGAAAAATAAAAACACATCTCCAGAAGTCCATTTGTCTTTGATCCATCTTGTGAGTTTATACAAAAAACAGCTTGACAAAAGATTTTTTTAGCTTCACAAAGTGATTGTAAAAAAGCCATGAAGTGAAAACTTGACAGAGTAGATGATGAACTAAAGGATGATGCATCTCTCAGGTCTTTGATGGATTGTTTTGTTTAAAGAAATGACCTTCAGATACTGTTCATCTGTTGTTAAGACTTCATACTTCTTACATCTTTCACTCTGCCCCCCTTTATTTATTTTAAGCACACACTGGACGAAATGCTTTCATGGTTAGGTACAAGGAACGAGACTAAAACTGAGGGGAAACAAACTGCAAACGTTCAAAGCATGAATTGGAAAGACCTTCAGAAAGTCTGAAGAAATATTGATCAAGACCACTTTGAAAAATTACAGAAAAAAAGTCTGGCTCCTGTAAATCCAAACAAAGAAATTAGAGGGAGGTTTTAAACTTTTTTAAAATGATTGTACTGTTAAAACAAATCATTACTGAAGGTCACAAAGTGCTTACTGAGAAAATGAATAGTTACAGAAATTGTTATTTTTTTAAATTCAATACAAGTTTAATTAACTTTGATCACATCTTTGTCTTCATYGAGTGTTAATTTACTTCGATTAGTGTACTGGTCCAGAGTGAAGGAACYATCAGTGCATTAGTGTTTATGTCACCATCTTTCATATTGTTTTTGTCAGGCTAAACTTTGTATCTTCAAGTATTATACAGTGGGGTGCAAAAGTTTAGGCAGCCTTGTTAATTTTCCTGATTTACCTTTATAAATCATTGATTGTTTGGATAAAAAAAAATCAGTTAAATATATCATATAGGGGACAAATACAGTGATATTTGAGGAGTGAAATGAAGTTGATATGATTTACAGAAAGTKTGCAATAAGTGGTTAAACAAAATTAGGCAGGTGCATAAATCTGGGCACCAAAAAAAATAACAACCTTAACTCAATATTTAGTAGATCCTCCTTCCACAGTAATAACAGCCTCTAAACACTTCCTATAGCTTCTAATGAGAGTCTGGATTGTGGCTGAAGGTATTTTAGACCACTCTTCTTTACAAAACATCTCTAGTTCATTCAGGTTTGATGGTTTCTGAGAATGGACAACTCTCTTTAAGTGACACCACAGATTTTCAATAAAATTCAGGTCTGGGGACTGAGATGTCCATTCCAGAACATTGTACTTGTTCCTATGCATGAAKRCCTYAGTAGATTTTGAGCAGTGTTTAGGGTGGTTGTCTTGTAGGAAGATGCAGCCCCGGCTTCAGCAGCTTCAGCTTTGTCACTGATTCCTGGACATTGGTCTCCAGAATCTGCTGATCTTGATTGGAATCCATGCGTCCATCAAATTTAACAAGATTCCCAGTCCCTGTACTGGCCACACAGCCCCACAGCATGATGGAACCACCACCAAATTTCACTGTAGGTAGCAGGTGTTTTTCTTGGAGTGCTGTATTATTTTCCTCCATGCATAACATCCCTTGTTCTGCCCAAATAACTCTATTTTAGTTTCATCAGTCCACAGCACCTTATTCCAAAATGAAGCTGGCTTGTCCAAATGTGCTTTAGCATACCTCAAGCAGCTCTGTTTGTGATGTGGGCGGAGAAAAGTCTTCCTCTGCATCACTCTCACATACATCTTCACCTTGTGTAAAGTGTGCTGAATAGTTGAACGATGCACAGT